AAGTACTTTAAAGCACATAAATTAGTTACCCGGGCAATTGAATCAATTAGCCAATCAGATGAATGTCGGCCTATGAGATTGGGCCCGTATCCGGGTTACCCGTGTAACTGAGTAAAAATTCTGCTACCAATCAAATAAAAATATTTTCTATATTTTTGGCACAATTCATAATGTATTGGTCACGTGGTGTACCTCAACCAATCAAATCGTATTATTTGTAGATTATACTTTACCCGGGTACTTACCCGGGTAAGTTAGCAATTAACTGACAGGTAACCCGTATTGGATTTTTAAACGGGTCCAATCCCTATTTTGGGTAAAATTGCATTTATGTTATCGTTATAGAATATTCATTTATGGAGTATGGAGCATAATCTACATATAACGATAATATTAATTAGACCGATCAACTTATCATTCATTATAGGGAAAGTGCATGGGTATTTCAAATACTAATTAGGCAAAATTATGTAAGGATCAAATAATAATGCCATTACGGTTGGCAAAATTGATACATCTTTACTACGTAGTAAATTACTATCAGTTTAAAAACAACTTTTTGTTATCGTTAAATATTCTAATTAAAAAAAACCATGAGTATTACGAATTGGTTTTGATAACCGAAAACTTAAAATAGTAATTGTGTAAAAGATTTTCTTATTATATTATAAGTAAAACGTTATTGTAAATTTTGTAATAGTTTTAATGCTGAATCTTTGAAGATTCGGTTAAAGAGTATTGCCGGGTATATTAAGATCTTCATGGGTGCAAAAATATCAGATAATACGTAATACCTGTACTAGTGTTTCGGGCGAAACTATTTTCCAAATCCGAAACGTTTCGCCCAGATGAATTTTAGTTTCGCCCTATAAGTCCTGAAGTCCGAAACCCTCCGAAACTAGTCTCGCCTCAATTTAATCCGCAAATGATCTGAGTTTCGCCCGAAACACTGATCTGTACTAATAATTTTTATTATAATGCCTTATATAGACTTGTATATGAAATACGTACCCCAATGTGAAATGCACTTATAGAGTGCATATATGGAGTGATCATTTATCGCAACAATAAATTGTGCTACATTAGGATGCGCGTTAATTCGGAGCGCTAATGTCGAGAACATAAATGCGTGAGTGAAAACCTGAAACTTTATCATAGTAAATCATTATATACAGCTGCAGGTTTTTACTCTCACGCGCTCATATAAGTTATTTTTGAAGGATCCAATTTTCAAAATAACGCCCATGAGCGTTATTTCGCATTTATACAGTAATTTATTGAATGAAATCCGTTCAATTGCATTCTAAGCTGAAATTCTCTGATGCAATCATTAATATTTTCAATTTTTTGCTTGTCAGTATCACATGCCAAAAACCATGCTATAAACTTTTGCCGTATTTAGGTTGCCATTTTATCATCGTCAAATATTATAGGAAAATCTCACGTTTTTGTAGATCACAACAATTAATTACCCGGTGACAAATAATGTAGATCAATTTTTTAAAATATTATTTACATATGCCATGTGATATAAACAATTGTGTAATGCACGTGATTTTTAATTTTTCACTATGTAAAAAATTGCCCGATGTCATCATAGTGTACAAGTGTACAAGTGTACACAAAATATAATTGAAAGTCCGATGACATTGGCTGACTTTTTCATATTAAATTATTAAAAATGGTCATAAGTCATATTAACCCTCATTATGACCAAATGATCTATGACTGGTCATAAAGGTCATAGGTCATTGGCCAACACTGGTGTAAAGATCGTATGTAAACTCAAAAAATTATTAAGCCAGCATAATTTAACTTTTAATTAGAATTATAAATCTGGTTATGCTTTATTTAATGAGGCATAAAAATTTTTTAGACAGCGCCCATATATATATTTTTATAAGTTACTGTATATACTTTTTTTTTACAATACACCAATCAAAAGATAACGGATAACCCGAAAATCAAAGAAACCCATAAATTATGCCGAACTCCGAAATGACTAAATACAATAAAATATTATTATTGTTTTTTTCTTTTTGAATCGATTTACGGGCAAGTGTTAAACAAAATTTTGTATGTATTTCTGTTTATAGATATATATATATTTATTTCGTGTATACATGTGTCACCGGATATAAATAGTTACGCGATTAATTAAATGTTGAATTCATAATTTAGTTTCACGGAAAACAAATTATCGATATACTATATATATTAAAATGTAACCTGAAATTCATAGCATTAGATTTAGGATGTTGATGCAAACAAAACTTTGGTGGCATGCCATTGATTTATATGGTAATTTGATGGCGCGCCAGTGGCATGCCGCTAAAGCTTTTCTTGTACCAACAACCTAATAGATCGGATATATTTGACATTGGTTCTTTTGGTCTTTTAATTTTACTTAGCAAGGGGTCTAGCAAGGGAGATTAAAGAATTCTCTTTTGTATCTTATTACGTCTACAACCCCTTGTTGGGATTCAGAAATAATAATAATAATAATATATAATAATAAATATATCTATATATATATAGTAACAGAATATATTAGAAAATTGCAATAAATGAATGTGTCAACAGTACAGTCCGCTGTTGAGCCTGTGGTCGCTCTCGAAGAACGAACGATGACAGATAACAATTCGAATTCTTACATAATTGAACAACTTACATTTATTCAATCTAGTAATCAAGATATTAAATCAATCGATAATGATGAAAATTTTGTTGCCGATGCTGAAATTTCAAAGTACGACGAGAATTATGTACATACAATCGAAAATGGTATGGTATATATTCTATTTAAAAGCTTTCTTTTTTTTTTATGATTAACAAAGACGGATTCATTTATGAACCACAAAATGTCAAGGCAGTAGTACCGTTATCTCAGATTCTGCAAAGCTTCCGATTACCAAACAAGAAAGGAAAAGTTATCAACTTCGAGCTTTGGTATATTATTATCTCTTAATCTAACAGTAGTCTGTTGCGGCCTTCCAATCACTTGTTATCCGCATTGATCAATATTAATTATAATTACTGGTTAGACTCGAAAAACACTTTCTTACCAAAAGCGACAAATGTTTACCAATATCTGTTGTATTACTTTATGTCCTTTCTTGATGGTTGCTATTGCTGGTATCATGGGAATAGTCGTCCAACATTTAATCAGTCATTCATCTCCTATTGATGGTATTTTGATATGTTTCTGATATTTATTTTGTTAGAGTTCCAATCCATTAAGCATTTATCCGGATAACTATCAGATATCCGGATATCCATTTACTATCCATTTACTATCCATTTACTATTGGTACCTCCGAGTACTTGTCAGATTATCTGGATATCTGAGCGATTTGGATTATCCAGATAATTAGATACGGATATATTTATCCAGATTGGAACTCGACGTTTTGTTAATCTTTTATAAATGAAATATATAACCTTTTCTTACGTTCCTTAATAGAATTTGTATATTGCTCTAATGCCAATGCTTCATCTCCACTTGGTATACCATTAACGCAGGATTCTTCTGATATCCCAACACTCCCTTCAAATCAAGTACCACATTCGTCAGGCGAAACAAAATTAGTAAAGTTGGTTAACTATTTCATCGCACCATCCAGTATTTCGAAATATTACGTTGTGGGAAGTGGTCCTCGGAGTTGTGTATTTGTGATTGGTCACGATTATCCTGCTGTTTTGCCTTACCAGCCTCCTGTTGCTCAAAGCACGATTAATTCTACTAGACGCGATACGTATGTATTTGTATATATTATTAATTTCTATTTATTTGTGCTTATTATTATGTTCTTGTTTTGTTTATTACATGTATAATAGAACTTTTCTACCGGATCCTCCCAACTATCCTTGGCTAAGCAATTTATCATTCAGCTACTCTCCGTCATTATCTTACTTCAGTCAGATACAAACTTACCCATGGTCTAACGTTCGTGAAGCCCAAGGTGTAAATGTTGGTCTAAAACCTCCACATTCTCCTGTTCCTTCTATTGCTAATTTTAGTAGCCCAAATCAAACTTATCCCGGTGATTTTGGCATTTTAGGCAACATTAACACAAATTATTATGTTAACTTTACTATAAGTGGTTCATCTTTTCAAGCTCAGAACTTCATACCGGTTCCATTTTTTCAAAAGCCAATTGAAAGTAACGCGTACTCTAGTATTGATCAGCTAGATAATGCATACGATGATTTATTAAGTGATAGTATTCATGATGTGATCAACGCATTAGCTAACGTAACTAAAGTTCCAATAAAGGATCAAAATCAGACAAGTTCCAAACTATTAAATTATAATGTTAAAGTTGCGGAAATAATAACAAAAATGCCTTGGGGAAATATATTATTTGATTCAGCAAACAATTTTTCTAAACAATGGAGTTATACTTTACAAACTGGCTCGGATTTTCGAATTTCTGCTGCTGCTTCTTTTCCATCTCAAGGTTTGAGAAGAATAGCTCAACAAAGTGATTTAAGTAATGGTATTATACGAACTGTCAATGGTACTAATGGTGGCGGTCCTACTGCTGTTGGTATTACTCCAATGTATCGTGTAATGCCACAAGTGGTGTCCACTAATGTCAAGGTCCCAGTTGGATCTTTAATCGGTGGAATTTTATATCCGTTTGGTGTCTCATTCCTTTTACCAATTTTCGTGATTACCTTAGTGAAAGAAAAAGAGGATAAAATACTAGTTATGATGAAGATGAATGGGTTAAAGACTTCTACTTATTATCTTACTCATTATATACATTTCTATGCTGAGCATATTGTTACTACGTTGGTGTTTGTAATCACTGGGTTAATTTTCAAAATGGAAATATTTACAAAAACTGGTATAAGTGTTTATGTTATTTTATTTTTTGTATGGGGTCATGTTGAAATTGCTTTAGCATTTCTCTTTTCTTGTTTTTTTTCGAAAGCAAGAATTGCTTTGGTTGTTACTTTCTTAATTGTTTTATGTGGAATTATTGTTAGTTTTGTTGCAGAAACTTTATATAATGATCTTGAATCCGCGCCGTTAGCATATTTTTTATGGCCTCCTTTCGCGTTTTATAGATGTCTTAATTTGATTAATACTGCAAGTGTTAGTACGGCTATTCCACCATATAGATTAAGTAATTTGATTGTAGGAAATGAGGTTTTTAATGGAATAATATTTATGGTGGTTGAATATTTCATCTTGATGGTTTTAACATTTTATTTGACTAATGTTTTACCCAGTGAATATGGCATTGTTAAACCCTGGTATTTCATATTTACCGAACCATATAATATGATTAAAAAACATAAAAAAAAAGAGGAAAATGGAGATATTATTGAACTTGAAAAAGGAACAGTAGAAATTGATCCAGATGAAGTAAAACTTGAAGATGATGATGTTAAAGAAGAGAGAAAGAGAGTTCTTGGAAATAATTATGACCCAGATTCTCCATTAGTTATGAAACATATGAGAAAAGTTTATCCAAATGGAAAATTGGCAGTTAAAGATGTTACCTTTGCTGTTGATAGGAATGTTATTTTTGGACTTTTAGGACCTAATGGTGCAGGTAAACATTTATTCATTTCTGTTAGTTTCATTATACAACTTAAGAATGCCAATTTTATTATATGTTAACCTTTAACTTTTAGGAAAAACAACGTTAATTAGTATTTTAACCGGATTATATCCGCCGACTTCTGGTTCTGCAACAATAAATAACCTTGACATTCTTACTAATATGCGAGAAGTTTATATGTCTATTGGTGTATGCCCTCAACATGATATTTTATGGGATGATTTAACAGTTGGTAAATAATAGCATGCCAAATTTATTTATGCGTTTATGAATTTGTGTTTAATTATGCTCTATCTTTTTCTAGGTGAGCATTTGTTATTTTACGCTCGTCTGAAAGGCATTCCAGCCGAACAAGAACAAGCTGTCATATTACAAGCTCTCCAACAAGTTCGTCTCGAAGCATTCAGAAACCGTCTTTCCAAGGGCCTTTCTGGTGGTGAAAAGCGCCGTCTTTCAATTGCTATTTCCTTAATAGGTAGTCCTGCTGTGATATTTCTTGATGAACCAACCACAGGATTGGATCCAGAAGTTAGAAGGTTGATTTGGAACATTATCAATGATGCAAAAAAAGGTAGAACTATCGTATTAACCACACATAGCATGGAGGAAGCTGAAATTCTATGTAATAGTATTGGAATTATGGCACAAGGAACTTTAAGATGCTTGGGACCACAATTAAGATTGAAAGAGGTTTATGGAAATGGATTCAAGTTGAGTTTCTCATGTCAGGCTAAAAATGTTGATATTGCTACACAGTAAGTTTAAAAAATATAATTCATTATTCAATATTTGTAGATTCTAATAAGCTCTTTTTTTTTTTACAAAAGATTTATCGAATCATTATTACCTCCAACCGCAAAAAAATTAGACTCATTTGTTACAAATGTGTCATATGAATTTAAAACTGAAAATGGGCTAATCGTTAAATTATTTAGGGAAATTGAAGCTCATAAAAGTGAAAATGGAATAGATGATTGGGGATTAAATCAAACTACTTTAGAAGAAGTTTTCTTAAAAATTATTAGTGAAACGGATGCAGAAGCTTGATAAAAATATCATGTTGGTTAAGAACGATAAAGAAAATTTCAGAACTTTCTTTTAATATGTTTTTTCCTTCCGGAATTAGTTAAAAATTTTGTTATAGGGTATATAATTTATAATACTTAATTTAGGCTATACAAAATCAATTTTTGAGAAAAAAATTTATAACTATTTATTTTAAACTTTTTAGTACAAATCTTTTTACAATTAATGTTTACAAGGTCATAATAGGTAGTGATAGAACTTTTGAGTTTTAGTTAATAATAAAAAAATCAATAACTAAATAGTACTGTAGTTATTAATATTATTAACCATTAATAATTTTGATCATTGTATATAAATATAGATTTTGACTGAGATAATCAACGTTCCACAAGTTATGATGCATCATTTAAATTATCGTTGTTTACTTGTTACTTCCTAATACAATATGAGTGCTGTCAATAGAAAACCTGTCATCGGCCATAGATAGCATGCAGAAAGCCAACTGAACATTGAAAGCCCGATGACAGGTTTTCTATTGACAGTACTCATATACAAAATTCACTCACCTCTTACGAGGTGAGTGAATTTGTATTAGGAAGTGACCGAATAAGTTACGCGGAAATCACTCAGTGCTTAGAAGTTATCAGTCGAGTCTTTAGTAGATGAATAATCAGCTATCATATACGACACGACTGATAACTATTACAAAAATTACGATATTATTTATACAAATTTATTAATGCAAAGTATTAATCATTTTAAACTTCACTATACATTAATCATTAACTCGTGAGTACTCGCGGGTTAAAAAATTTATGATTTGAACTCGAATTATTCAAGTCAGGGTCCAGTCACTAATTGAAATATGCTCATGTATCTTCCACAATAGATCAATTTATGATCATGTTGGTGCTCAAGTATTATGATTAATTAAAATATTGATTGCAATTGATGCTTGAGCAAACGTTTTTATCATTACTACCATTTAGCAATAATTGTTTTACAAATACAGTAGAAATAAAAAAAAATTAAATTAAATTAAATTAAATTAAATAATGAAAACGAAAAAGAATCTACGACACTTCCAAATTCTGTTACTTCTTTTTCAGAATTTACTACGAACCAACAGAATACAAAAAAGTGCCTTTTTTATTTGCGGCGAATATAATAATTCGTCGATGTTAATAATGATTTGAAGATCCATAATGATAACGATAATAATGTAAAAAAGTGAAGTACTTGAGCAATTATTTTTTCTAATCAGTCAATGAAAAATTTTGATCAATAACGAACTCTATGATAAAAAAGACGTCTGGGCCTCTATCTCTTGTTGATCGGAATAATAGATACCCTTGGTCGGTCAAACGAACTTCAGTTAATAAAATTTACATATTAAACTTTCGTTACGCTTATTCATTGGAATAATCAATACAATTGATTCGTTAAACTATTTTTTTACTAATAAAAATTTACCCTCAGACCCGTTCCGGCGGTTGGTTAAGGTGCTTAGGCTGCCGCTTTTCATATTTTTGCATTTTCTTTATTTTTAATTTCCCCGAACCCATCACTGCACACGGGTACATGGCTTTAGACGAACCCTAAAATTAATAGTCTTTTAATTATTTTCTATACATATAAAATGTACCATGGATTAGAGATTAGAACCGGTGAATTTCGATCCCAAACTCTAGAATCTGAGCATCGGTAAAAAAAATTTGACCGATGTTTGAATGTTTGATGAATTTTTAAAAAATTTAGTAATATTTATCAATTGTACTACTATCATACATTTTTAATATATAATTTATCAATTATATAATTATCAAAGTTAAATTTCAATCAAAAAATGTATCATTATCAAAATAACTACGTGTAGTTATATTTTAACATTCACTGATGCTCGATGATATCCGAATAAAAAACTCAGTGAATGATGCTCGAAATTTTTGACCGATGATATCTCTATCATGGATACGTCGCTTCCGATATTGTAGTATATAAAATCTAATACAGCATAGCACAGATTTGTGCATAGATCTGCAAAATCATTAAATTCACTAGTGAAAACTAGTATCCAAAAATTGATACATCTCGCGCACAAACTATTTTTCTCGAGCAATTTATGCACAAAACGATTAGTTTAATATGTTAGAAAAAAGTTACAGGTTAAAGTTTTTAATTAATTGAATGTTTTTAAAGACTAAGTTAGTAAGAACTTCCTGTAATATATATTAAAGCTAAGAATTTACTTTGTAAATGAAAATTTAAAACTGTAACTTCTAACATATTAAACTAATCGTTTTGTGCATAAATTGCCGGAGAAAAATAGTTGGTACGCGAGATGTATCAATTTTTGGATACTAGTGAATTTAATGATTTTGCCGATCTCTGTGCTATTTGGATTTTACCTTACATAGTTTTGATTAATTAGTATATCGGAAGCCCCAGTCGCGCATGCATTATATAATTAATCTGGGTCTCCTATGACTCGGTTACCGGGTTACCCAATAATTCTTACACGGGTGCAAGCTCTAGATGCACATGCCAACCTGGTACTACGTACAGTACATACGAACATGTTTTTTGGATGTTTTCTCAAAAAACCAGTTTTTATAAATAATACTAACCAAAAACTTATCAGACTTAATCTCACAGAAAAATCTTATAGGATTTTTATTTAATAGACTAGTTATTAGTGTTTCATAAATGGATTCGAGATTCGGATTCGATCTGCGAATCTATAATTCATCAAACCCTACGAATTCAACCCGGATCTGTTATTACTGTGCTACGAAATCCATTAACATAAAAAACTTTACCCAAAGCTTAATCTAATAAATCTATCGGGCTTTTGAGTTTTATTAAACAAGAACAATCTTTTTTTCTTAAAAATTATAAGAACATATACAATATTATTATTGCTGTATATCATATTCCTCGTTATTTTTTATATTTGATCAGTGCGGAACACTACTACAATAAACTTAATTATAAATCATTTTTTAATTTTGAGTTTTTTTGGTTTGTTTTCTTTATCTTCGTTTTCTTTTTCTGAACTTATCACTGTAGTACTTAGTATCATTGAATAGCGCTTGTGTGAAATTCTTGTAGCATTTCGTAATAATGTAAGATTCACTAAAAGAATATTCCAAATTTTATAAAATACTGTATTAAATTTTTAAATTTTAATGTTATAGAGCTACATATAATGAATATACTAAAGTTTTAACACAAACCCTATATGTAAGTAATAACTTTACCAGACTAATAATTTTATGTTCATCACAAGGAACCAAAGGAATCTCTGCTTTCTGTATGTGGAAGTGCCTGTTTAATCCATTTGGATCACGAACGAGGATGTTTAAACATATTTTCGTTCCTAAAATTAAAGAATTCATTTAGCATTATTAGAGACCAAAGAAATTGTACTATATAAATATTATAGAAAACTAAAAAATCATAAATTCATAACCTACTACATACTTGTATGCCTGTGATTCCGAATTGGTTGGTTTGGGGCTTACATACTTTTCATACCCAAGACATGCCATCGTTTAGCCCCCTCCAAAGTTTCACAGAATCTTCAGTTTCTTTCTCTGAAGTACATTGAATTTTTGAGCACTCCATATAACCAATTTCGAACATTTGATCATTAAAAAATATCTTTATTATAGTGTCCGGTTTTTTTCCTATTTTGACATCATCAAATTCATTGGATTGTTTGACTTTCCTCTCCTGACTTGCAATGCTTTGCATTTTGGCACTACAAAAAAAAAGTTGTAGTTAATAAATGAGTGCCGCCAGGGGAAAACCTGCTATCAGGTTTTCAGTTATACAGTGAAACCTCTATAAAATGCACACCCTCTCTAAATACACATAAAACATAATCGAAAGCCTAATGACAAGTTTTCCCTCCCTAACAAATAAGATTTATTAATTGTAACATACACAGTGAAATATATATTATGATTGAGTCTGCTTAAAGAAGTTCTTAGAAGTGGTACAATCAAATTGGTAGAGTATGTTCTCTCGTTTAAATTTTTTCAAACCTTTCCATTTGAAAATGTCAGATTAACCCAAGCTTCATCACTAGAAATCAATAAACCCAATTTATCAAACACTAATTAGAAAATCAATCATAGCCAATTTATTAATAATTTGCAAATGATTAAAATTTATTAGGAATAATAAAATATATCATATACAGAATAGTCAATATGTTCTCAACTACCAATTTATGTTTGTTAATATCTTCTTTCCAATCCACATTGTGGACTAGATTTTGATTTAAATAAATCATTTCCTGCCGGGTTTTAAATTCCTGGAGGAATTTAATATATTTAGTAATGACTTGCGAATATATTTCTGGGGGTTGCATTAGTTTAAAAGGTTCAAAAAACTGGATTTTTTCCAATCCTTTTAAGGACATTGCTATAGATGAACGATCATCGAGGATGTAACTTGCTAGTGGATTCGTCCAGGATAAATTCTTGGGATTCATATTTATTAATTTTTTGTACAGAGAATCACATAATTCTGTATATTTATCTGAAATTGGGGACTTATAAATATATAGTATTAGAACAATATTAATTAAAATATTTTAAATTATGGCTATTCGCTATACTTACAGCAAGTTTTTTTTTCAAGGTTGAAAAGTTTGATTCTATCATTTTAGAACTACGGCTATATTCAAGTGTTGACTTCTATATAATATATATATCACATATTTTAATAAAAATTTTATTGGTTTAATACAAAACATATATATAATATATATATAATACCTTCTCTATCACGCCTATCGTTATGAGGCTTTTAATTGCATCGTAACCATAATATAGCTGTCATAGAAGATACAAAAAAAATTTTATTTGAGTAATGTATATTATCCCTTAAATTGTAACACAGGCAAATTTGCCTGTGTTTTTATTAAAAAGTTTAATTTTTTTAATAAAAAC